CCTAATAGTTATTTGGGACAGAATATTTGTCTGTCTCAAATAAGTATTTGGGATGGAGGCTTATTCCATCCCAGTTGGTCTATCCCTAATTGGCTTCTAGGATGCCACATACTGGGACGGTTACATAATCGTCCCAAAATGGCATTAGGGACAGTTTGGGCACCTTTAGAGACGTGTTTTTTTTTTTTTGTGTCCTTAATAACAGAAATTCTTGTAGTGATTTTACATAAACTTAAATTCAAATAAAATCGAGAGGCTGTTTTTGTTGGTTGCCAATGATTTTTTCAATTACTATGTTGTTGGAGGCGATCTTGTTTGTTTTCATGGAAGTTCAATTAAGGAGAAGAAAGATGAAATAAATAAATAAAAGGAGCAGATAAGAGTTTCACTGTCATTTGACACATATTTAGCCATCATTTGACACGTATTCAGTCACGTAAAGAGTCGTTAGTAGTAGGTTTTTTATAGTCCACTGTTAGGAATAGATATAATAGATAATTAATTTACAAATGACAAATTTGATTTTGCCGGGGCAACAAGCCTTTCCGGATAGCACTTCGGGGCAAAATAGCATCACACTCTATCAATTGGACAGGTAATGATTGAAAACGCCTTGCAAGCATTAAAAATAGATTGATTAGTGTTAAATAATTGTTAATGTCATATGTGATTTTTAGGTATGTCTTTTTTTTTTAGAGCACGTATATTGACCCTACAAGTGTAGTTCGAAAGCGAAATTTCAAAGACTTATTTCTCAAATCTTTATCAACACTGCCATGCCACTAAAGAATGATTTTTAGGTATGCTGAAAAACATATATTATCACCCAGAAAATATCAATGGCATTGCCTTTTTACTGATACGAATTACGCTCGATCTTTAAAAGATAAGTATCAATCAAGTTTATTATCATGTACGTGTGTGTGTGTGTGTGTGAGGGCAGGGCAGGGCAGGGCAGGGCGGGGGGTCTTTTTTAAGTTCTTGGGATTGTGTTTGCGTGGGAGAGAGAGAGAGAGGGTCATATTTGGGAACATTCATTTGGTCTGGGATAAATAGTCAACTCCACAACAAAATAATGTCTCACACTCTAATTTTAATGAATGGACATAGATGAACCTGATTTTGAATGAATGTAACATGCAAAAAAGAAAGAAGAAGAAGAAGAAGAAGAAGAAGAAGAAAGAAAGAAGGGTAGCCACGACCAATTAAAAAAATGGGAAATAGGGACAACAATGTTACTTCCGTCCCAAACATATCATCTGTCCCTATTTGGGACGAAATATTCGTCCGTCTCAAATAAGTATTTGGGACGGAGGCTTATTCCGTCCCAGTTGGTCTGTCCCTAATTGGCTTCTAGGATGCCACATACTGGAACAGTTGCATCAATCGTCCCAAAAGGGCATTAGGGACAGTTTGGGCACCTTTAAAGACGTTTGTTTTTGTCTTTAATAGTAGAAATTCTTTTAGTGATTTTACATAAACTTAAATTCAAATCAAATCGAGAGCCTTTTTTTGTTGGTTGTTAATGATTTTTTCAGTTACTATGTTGTTGGAGGCGATCTTGTTTGTTTCATGGAAGTTCAATTAGGGAGAAGAAAGAAGAAATAAAAAATAAATAAATAACTAAATAAAAGGAGCAAAGTTTCACATATTCAGCTATCATTTGATATGTATTCAATCACGTAAAGAGTCTTAGTAGTAGGTTTTTTTTATAATCGGGCAAAATAGCATCACACTATCAATTGGACAAGCAATGATTGAAAATGCCTTGCAAGCATTAAAAATAGATTGATTAGTGTTAAATAATTGTGAATGTCACAGTGATTTTTAGGTGTTTTTTTTTTTTTTTTAAAGAATACGTGTATCGACCCTACAAATGTAGTTCGAAAGCGAAATTTCAAAGGCTTATTTCTCATATCCTTATCAACACTATTATAAGATGCCGCTAAAGAACAATTCTTAGATATGCTGAAAAATATATATTATCACCCAGAAAATATCAATGGCATTGCCTTTTTGCTGATACGAATTACGCTCGATGTTTAAAAGATAAGCATCAATCAAGTTTATTATCGTGTGTGTGTGTGTGTGTTTGTGTGTGTGTGTGTGAGAGAGAGAGAGAGAGAGAGAGGGGGTCTCTTTTTAAGTGCTTGAGAGTGTGTTTGCGTGAGAGAGTCTTTTCAAGTGCTTGAGAGAGACTCTTCTTTGATCATGGAGTAATACAACACCACCAGGTCCACAACGTACTCTTCCACCTACTATTTAATAATGAACGTCGTGTTTTTTCTGATGGCTTTTTTTCTCTTCTAGATCTAAAGCCGACAATTTGTTATTCAGTGCTGGTAGGTTCCACAACCGCTCAGAAATCATTTGTTGCTGGTATAATGCAACAAATGAAACAACCATTTTATCACTAACGTTATTATCAAATTGTTGTAAGTAAAAACTAAAAAGGTGTTTTGTGATATATTATATGAAGGATTTTAAATGTTTTACATTTCAAGTGTTTTTAATTTTTTTTCCTGTTATACTTTATCATATATGCATGAAAATAATTGCATACGATTAATCAGTGCAGTTGATTAAATATATATATATATATATATATATATATATATATATATATATATTTTTCCATATAATTAGGTGATATTATATTTTGACACAAACATGTGAACATGAAATGCATCATAAGTCAGATTTTGAATAAAGTCAATTATATGTATAGTCACCATACTATAGTGACCGAGCAGATGTTAATTATTACATGTGTTGCTTTTCACGTTTCAAATTCCTTTGGAATTCTTTTAGTCAAGGGAAATTACGTAAACAAAATTATTTTCTTCTTCTGAAATATAAAAGAATCTTTGAGAGTTTATGCCTGAATTATATTACCCAGTAGGTAGGCTCATCTTCACTAGTGGACAGTGGCATTCTTTATTTATTTTTTTGGGTAAATTAGACCGTGACATCATAATCTATACAATGCCTATAATTTTTTTTAATTTTTGATATCATGTCAATGTTTGACCAATTTCTCTAAAAAAAACTTAAATTGTTAAAGAGGAAAAAAAAAACTTAAAACGTCCCAAATTTCATTCCCATGCATGATTAAAACTCTTATCCAAGTTATTACCAGTTAAGTACCAAAAAGACTTGTCAACACGTGTAGATGGCATCGTATGTTCAACAAAGTCAAATGACGATTAATGAATTAAATTTATGTTGGTAGAGACTTTATGGTGGTGAAACATATATAGCACACGTACAAGTGACTCAGTGAAGCAACTTTTAATCTGGTGTAGAGTTAACTTTGAGTTGGGTGGGGATTAAATAAGACAATCACTACTTCAACCTTTTTTTTTTTTTTTTTTGAATGGTAAAGGAAAAAAAAAAAAAAAGAAAAGAAAAGAAAAGGCTGAAATATGAGTGTTCTATAACTTTATAATCATTAAACGGAAAATCATGTAATACTGCGTAGGATTGCACTTGCAGGAAAATATGATGGCCAAAATAATTGTACGCTGTTATAGTTGCCCACTTCGTCACAAATAATTGTACTATGTAGGGATATATACTATGTACTGAACATACGTAAAAGAGCAATGTTATAGTTGCCTTGCCACTGAAAGAAAAGAGTGTGTCTGAAATTCACCTCTTAGTCTTCCTTAGTGTGCCAATGTCGTTAATTATAAATATTATTTTTATAATAAAATAAAATGCAGGTAGCCTTTAATGTAAGTATGTAACTTGATCAAAAAGTTGACTTTTCGGCCGATTTCTTTTGATCACGACCAAATATCTGACTGTAAATTAACAACATAAAGGTTAAATTATCTTAATTATCCTAATCCTAATTACTAAACCAATTCAATATTTTTGGGAACCAAAACAAACCTAATTACATACATATATGCGTGTATGTTTTTTTCAAAAAAAAATGTCGCTTTTTGCTCGATTGTACATGATAGGTGACATCCAACTACTTGAATGAGGCATAACCACTAAAAAGGCACTAGTAAAAGAGACGGTTGCACATAAAAGAAGCCAACCTAGCTCATAAATCCATATGTTTCAATTACGTACCAACCAGGCAACCAGGCACCAACCTTTTAAAGGTAATATAAATAAAAAAGCTACAGAAGGCCAAACACAACTCTCTTTTCATAACCACTTTGATATGAAACATTCTCACATTCTACCAAATAATAATTATAATAATAATAATAATAATAAACTCAACAACGTCATATTTAATTTGACTCATATATTAATTGTCAACCGAAGTCATATGATGAAATATGCTTAGCTTGCCAAATTATATTTCAAACCAGCCCCTTTCATTAGCTTTAATTAATTCCCTTTTTTTTTTTTTCAACTGACAAAATATTTATTTACCGAAAAAAGAAGAACCTTACAAAATATAACAACTGTTGAAGGTAATACCATCCAACAAAAACATTTGACATGGGAGGCCAATATACTATATATATTTTTTGAATAAATAAGAAAAACCGGTTTAATTATGTTATACCTCAGACAATGTGAGTATAATTTATCCCAAATTTACTAACATTTTTATTTTGCGTTGTTTACCAGCTAGATCTATACTAGGGTTTTTTGGATAGCCAAACAATGACATTCACAGGGAAAAAAAATAATAATAGAAAACAAGAGAAGGAAAAGATAAGAGAGAGATAATAATAAAAAATAAAAATAAAAACGAAAAAAAAACTATAACGAGCAGGAAATAACATTAATATGGTTGAAAAACAAAATTAAAAATGAAAAAAGTGTGTGCAATTTGTGCGTTGAAGCCAACCCATTCCCAAAGCCACGTACAGGTAACCTAGTAACAGCTGCAACATGAAAAAAAGCAGTATGTAATTAATGTCGCAAATACTTATCAGTTTATTGGTACGAAGATACAGTTATTGAGCAAATGTCGGCCGGAATACAATCTCGATCGTCGGAAATTTGATACAATATATATATATATATCATCCGGCCCACAGGTGGTAAGGTGAGGGTGATTGTAGTGCAGCCATTTTCTTTTGTTGCTTCAATTCCTTATAGAACTTGTTAATGAAGTCTTCAGCTGCCTTGTTTATTTGATCACAACTAGCATGATCCTCCGTACCTTTGACTGAAAATGGAGAGTCTGTTACTCTCAACTGCCTCACCATTGGGCTCCGTCCGAACCCCGGTAATGATACTGGAGATGCCTCCGGTACCTCACTGTTCAACATATCAAACACCTTTTGAACCACGTCAGCGTTATGGTAGAGGTGGCGGTGGTGGTGGCGGCTGTGGAGGTGGTGGTGCTTTCGCCTCGTGTGGTAGGAGGGATAGGCGGGGCTGTTGCGGAAGCTGAACTCGTATTCTTGGGGAGATATGAAAGAGAGGTGTGGGTCGTCTGGGCGGCAAGTGAGGGCTGAGTAGTTGTGGTTCATGAGGTTGCCCATGGATTTTCCAGCGATCTGACCACGTTTCATCATCGTGTTAAGATCATCCATTAGTTTGTTTTTTGAAATACCTTTGCTCAACATGTAGAAGACTACCCGTATTATTTTCCACAATTTTTTGGCTCTCACTGGTGGATTTGGTTCACTTTCCATGTCTAGAGGGATAGCGAGTGAATCTTGTATAATTTAAGGGAAAAAGAGGAATGTATTTTTGATATGGGCAGATCGGAGAGGGAGAGGGCCGGAGAGGGAGAGAGAGAGTACTGTATGTTCCGATCTGGTATAATGTGAGAGAGAGGATGGAATATATATATATACATAGGTCCGTGCAAGGAGATCGAAGAGGCCACAAAATTAAATATTTATGTTGCTGATGCAATAGAATTGATATTGAAAGAAATTTAGGGACTTTGTCTTCAGAAAACAATCGTTAATAATTCAAAAAATAAATAAATAAAAAATAAAAAGGTTTTCAGATATTTATAATCTTGTTTTAGATAAGTTTTTATAAAATAATTCTTAAAAAATGATTATTACACATAAATGGTGTTAATGGCCTATATTTATTATTTGATGAAGTCAAAGTCTTATAATTTAAAAAAAAATGGAGTTGACCAAAATACAGACGTAAACATGAAAAAACACATTTCATCTGTCAAAATGTATTACTTTTAGGCACGTAGATATCACTTTTTGTGTACGCATATACTAGTTTAAAATGACTCATATAGCAGTTTACTTGGTACGCATATACTAATTTTTGTGCTGCACAAAAAAATGGTACACGTGTACACAAAAAGTGGTATATATGTGCAAAAAGTGGTATCTTTATGCCCAAAATAAAAGTGGTACCATGCATGCACAAAAGAGTGGTACTTATGTTAGCAAATGAACAATGTAGGTTTTTTCATATTCACGTCAGTATTTTAGTCAACTTTATTTTTTTTAAATTAGGAGATTTTGACTCAATGATAAATATGAGTCATTAACACCATATGTAATAATCCCTTAACCAAACATATTCTTATACAATTTTTTAATTTTTAATTCTCTGAAGTTTATTCTTAAAAAATTGAATCAAGTAAACTCGTAGCAATTTAATGTTCTCAAATATAACTGGAGGAAGATAGACACTACACCACTGCACTAGCTATCCATTTGTAGTAGTTGCGGTGAGGAAAAATCTGATTGATTGTCATAAACTGCTACCACCTAAAAAGTGTTCGATCTCATGAACAAGGCCGATAAATTAGAGGTGAAGGATAAACTTCAAGTCTCCGGGGGCAAAGAGTGTGTTTCAAACGCCAAGATAAAAAATACAAAAATAAAAACAGTAAAGAGTTTGATCATGTAATATATTAAGTTTTTTTTTTTTTTTTAATTAGAATTTTGTTTTTTAATTACTATGATAACAATATTGTTAAAAGTAATTCATTTGATTCGTCATTTCGTAAATTAGATCCGTGCGGGTAAAGAGTTTGATCATGTAATATATTAAGGTATTTTTTTTTTTTAATTAGAGTTTTGTTTTTAAATTACTATGATAACAATATTGTTAAAAGTAATTCATTTGATTCGTCAATTCGTAAATTAGAACGGCGCCGATTAGATTGGTTTTTTAGCCTAATAGTTTGGTGACAGATTTATGAACAAGAAATCCACAGTAACCGGACTGATTAATAGATTGGGGTCTAAAAATCAATTTAATCCGTTTAATCAACCCAGGAACCAATCCGTTAACAAATATATATAAAATTCTTATACAGTTCATAATTTTGTATTTCAAATAAATGTTAAATGGTCCAATACCCAGGTTTGTCTTTATTATTCACAAATTAAACTAGTAAAAAAAGAAAAAAAAAAAAAAAAAGAGCATCAACCTCCCTCACGTATGGTTAACTTTGCACTGACACCTTTTTTTGTTAGTTGATCGTTAAAAAAGTCAAAAGTCAACTAATTAAAAAAATATAATGTCAAAACTATCCTTCCTAAAGTTACGCTTAAACCCCCCAAATTTAAAAAATATAATGCCAAAACTACTATAGAAAGGCTTGAATCTCCCAAATTCATAAAGTAACATATCAAATTCACCGGATCAGATTGGATTAGGAACAATTTGTAGAAATCAGACTAGATTAGTGTAACGGGTGAGCGCTTACCCAAAAGTTTAAAATGTTGGGTAGTATTACATATCCACCCATTTATACACACACTTCAACCCCTATCTAAATCCGATATGGGACAAGTCTCATTTGTAACATTCTCCCCCACCCGAACCTGGGTAACTCCCTCATTGTAGTCGAGCCACCCTGCTTACCCCAGGGCCAGACCCGGACACCCTTCTGGCTAGGCGCTTGGCGGGACACCGAATTAAGGATCGGGTCTAACTCTGATACCAATTGTAATGGGTGTGCGTGTGCTTGCTCATTTACCCAAAAACTTAAACTGTGAGGTAGTGCTACATACCTACTCATTTATACACACTTCAATCCCCATCTAAATTTGATATGGGACAAGTCCCACTAGTAACAATTAGGCACCTCACCCCTGCCATAAATGCTTATTAGTAGAATTTTGATAATGGCATAATAGGAAAAAAAAAAAAAAGAAAAAAAAAGAGAGGAGATAATGGTAGGATAATATAAATAAATAAAAAATAAAATAAAATAAGAGGAAGAAGAAGAAGAAGAATAAGGGAAAATTACACTTACTTAGAGTAAGAAGAGCCTTAAATAACAAAATAGTTTACTTTAAGAGTTCATATTTTACTTTGATTGAATTAAGTAAAATAATTACATATTCAACAAAAATTATTGTTGAGGTCCTGAAGGCCATCCAAACTCTTATATTCCAAAATAATAAATTATTCTCCTTAAATCAATCAAGTACTTTCTTGAGATAATTTCTTTTACTTAATTTTTTTTTAAGAAAACAAGTTTTTTCCTTTAACTTTAAATCATATTGTTGCAACTTTCATATGTAAGAACTTATACAGACAATAAAAAAGATTCAATGTAGTAAAAAATCAGGTAATCAAAGATTAGTCCCCAAAAAAAAAAATATAATTAAACTCCTTTATCCGAATAATATTTAAATCATGCATGCCTTGAGATGATCATCAATACTACACTTGTTTTATAAATAAAATAATAGTTGTTGGTATTTACTGAAACAAACATTTAGTTTTTTGGGATGGAACGATCCTAGGTCATATAACAAAACCTAATTAAATTTTAGCCCAGTGGCCTACGTAAAAATATTTTAGATGTGTTTGTGTGCATGTATATACATAATACATAATACATATACATTTATATACTTAATCCAGATTTTCTGAATTACTGTTTTATCACTCTTATGACCAACCATCACTTTATATATATATTTTTTCGGGTAACTCGACCACCCATCATTTTGCTTGATCTATAAAACAAATTTTCAGACTGTTTTACCTTTCATAATAATCAAATATTAGTTCGAATTTGGTCCCATTGGTACAGAAAAGCAACGTCTCGATTAATCCAAATTAAAATTTAATGCTAATAAGCCCATATTACGGCTGCGATAGACAGGGACTTCATCCAGATGGACCAAACGCAACTAATAGAATTAATGGTGACAAATACAACCACAATAATAATAATTGATCGTTTCCTTTAAAAGTAATAACAAGGAAAATTAATCCATTTTGTTAATTTGGTCCCCCATTGATCTATAAAGCAACTCTCAATTGATCAAACTTGAATTTAATAATTCAAAATAAAATCATTAATGTGACAAAAATAGTCTCGCGCGCGCGCACAAAAAGAAAATTCTATCTATCAAATTAATTAATAATACTATACATTTATTTGAAATGGCAACTAATGCAAGCGTGGCAAAATGAGGCCTACCAAAGCCACTCATTTCCAACTATCCAACCACTTTGATGCTTTTTATTTGACTCTTAAGGCCTAAACATTATTGGTGGTCCGGTCTATGACTTGTGCTTATGGTTCTTATTTGCAGGTCATTTTCAATGTATTCCAACTTTCTTGGTAAACTTCAATTAATGACATTCTTATCACCATGGGGACAATTTGAAAATTGAAACATTTCTGTTCAGACTTTTTCAATATCAATCCTCTATACCTATACTTTAATGTTTTTAAGCCTTTAAATGTATAATTGACATGTGATAGCGACTTCTAGTGTATTTTTTTTTTTCTTCCTCTGTAATTAAGAGGGTGCAGTGCATGAAGTTAATCAAGTTTAATTCCAGCTTAATAAATTGAAGTACATTTACATATAAGTATTCCAATATAAAATAAAAATAGGTTATGAGATGGATTGGTATATATTTTATTTATACTCGTATTTATATGAAATTGGACATGTGTCACTCTATTTCTTGTCTGGGTGTCTCTATTCTGAATTTATATCTAGAAGCATGAATTGGCTTTTTTGCTATATCATGGAAACTATAGCCCACAATTATGAAGTGGATCATTTATAAACAAGCTTTGAGTAATATTTCTATTTCTTTTTCTTTTTCTTTTTTCTTGAATAATTTTTCTTCTTCTAACTCAATTATCTTTACAGGTAGAATATTTCGTATTATATATATATGGAAAGAAATCTAAGCAAAGTGTAATCTAAGAGGTTGAATAGATTACGAGTGACGAGGATAAAAACAAAGATTGAATAGGCTACAAGTAGTAAGGATAAAGACAGTTATTCTTTCTGATAACTCTCCCACTACGTAGTGGAAAAGTCAAGAAATTAGTTTCCTAGGTGAACACTACAATTAACTCTCCTATAAAGGCGGTGGTCGGACAACTCATAAGGTATGATACAAATCTTCAAAAGAGTTCTTTGATCTTTCTTCCAACCTCCTGATCTAGCACTGACTTGATCATCGGCACCTCTTAGACCGGTACTGATGGCCCTCTATCATCTTTTTTTTTTTTTTTTTTTTTACTCGATCACCTTTTTCTTTCATTTTACGATTTGAAACTCCTTATATATATCAGCATAAATTGCATAATGATTAGGTTTGTTGGGTTGGTTACATAAGGCCACAATCCAAGCAATCAGTGCTTTTGTTGGGTTGGACTTTGTTATTTCAAGCCCAACTTTCTTCTAAAATTTTATAATCCAAATTTGTTGCTATAGATTTATAGCTTGGGTTAAACCCACTTCGTTGGTTGGCCCAGCCCAAATATTATAGCAATCTTGGTGGGGGTGGGGTTCACCATGAGAAGTTGCTCTAGAAAGAGAAATTATCCTGTGATACATGAAATCTCATAAATTATCCTTACAACCATTTGTTAGGCAGCAATAATTTTATACCAGAAACAAATCATTTATAGTAGAAACTGAAAAATCCTGGAAATGAAAAATAAATGATCCATAATCAGTATTGTACATTAATTCTTTCATAACACACCGGGAAAAAAAAAAAAAATTTCTTTTATAAGAAATTGATACTGAAATATTTTCTGTTGGAAATTCCACCGAAGCTAAAGAAAAAAATATAAAGAGAGCAGAAAAATAAAAAATGTAAATACTTGAACAAAGGACCTAGGGGTACCATGGCTTGAATATCATGTTATAAATTAATTTCTCCAAAAACTCAAACTGTATATGAAGCTAATTTTATTATAAACCTCAGCAAAACAAAGAACTTTAAGCAAGTCTTTCAACTTTTATTAGATTTTAATATTTTTTTATTTTATAAATATTTTATGACAATCAAACAATAAAAAAATAAAAAATATATTTTACATCCAAAGTTCCAAACTACACACCAAATTATGTGTACTTTTAATTTTTTAAACGTGGATATGTCAAGTGAGTGACTTCTTTTAATTTTTTTTAAACGTGTATGTGTTTTTAATATTTTAAACGTGGATATATTTTTGTTGGGCCTAGTGGCCATATTAATCTAGACCTCTGTACTATGGAATACCCCACTTTACCAAAGCCACACAAATGGAATCAAAGAAAATTGTGGGACTTTGAATTGACAAGAGATTTAGGATAATTTATATATACCTCTCCTATAATTTATCTTAATTATAAAAATATCATTTTTGTTTTGAAAATTACACGAATCTCTTTTATGTGTGACGAACGATTAAATACAGTAACAGAACTGTCAAAATTACTAAAATACTCTCTCCTTGACATCTGAAATTACTAAACTACTCCCATAAATTATTGAGTAGGCATGACATCAACTTTTTATACACTATCGCCTCTCTCTCTCTCTCTCTATCTTCACGTTCTCTCTCTAGGCAGCCATGGACTCAAAATCTAGCAAACTGGAGATGTATTAGTTGATGATTATTAAAAAAAATAAAAAGATTGGTTGCTTAGAACTTTCTCAAAATTCAAGAAAATTAAATCAAATGCTTGTGACTCTCTCACTGCTCATCTTCGCAGCCGGAGTTCCGTGACGAGTCATCGGGGAATTATGCTTTCTTTCCATTGTTGAAGCAGATTGGAGAGGTTTAGAGAGAATGAGAGAAGGTTGAGAATGGCGGTGAGGTGGGTTTGAAGTGTTCTTGCTGTGGGGTTTGGTTGGAGAGAAAAATTTACCCTCCTTGTATTATGATCAAGCCTTCTTGGGGTGTTTTGGATTATACCCAGAAAGGGAATTTGATTGCAGAAGCAGGGGATGATGAAGATGATGATGGTGATCATTATCGCCATATCGAAGAAATCTTTATTTCTTGACCTAATATTTTATTCTGGAGCAGTATGTGGAGTCATTTTTATTCTAATTTTTCCAATATTCAGGGATTTGATTGGGGATCTCTTTTGTTGACTTCCATAGGAGGGGCTTTTACATGTTCTTCCTAAATATATTTAGGGTTAATATTTTCTTTTGGAGTAATACTATGCAGAGTCAAGTTTATTCTCATTTTTCTAACATTCAAGAATTTGACGGGGGTCTCTTTTGTTGACTTCTACAGGGAAGCAAGTATTCCCATTAATGTCTGATGTGGGTGCACTAGACTATCAGATTGTGTGGTGAATGGATGTGAGATTAAAAACAAGAGTGATGATCAAATGAGGGTTTCTGAGGTCAATGGTGGTTTTGGTGTTAAAGAAGTGAAGGCAGAGGAGGATTGGTCTGTTTACATATATATATATATATATATATCTTTTAAATATAATATAAAATTATATAGACAAGGGTATTTTAGAAAAAATAGTAGACGACGTCATCAATTTCTGTCGTTGACCGGCGTTGACCGTAACGGAAGGAAGGTCCGTGTAAGATATTTTCAAAAGTATGGGAGGTCTGAGTAATTTCTGAAACAGAAAGGGTGCTGCCTGTAATTATGACAAATTATAGGAAAAGTCTGTGTAAATTACCCAAAGATTTATGTATCAGGAAAAAAAAGAATAATAATAAATAAATAATTTGACAAGAGATATATGATTAGTTAATTGCTCAATTGTCTTCTGGTGCTCTCTGCTTATAGAGTGATTATGTTAAAGATTTGAAATTATATAGATATGGGATAAAGATTGTTCTCTAGTTAAGCTATGAAATTATATAGATATAGGATATAGGATTTGAAATTAGTGATAGATAGGTTAGTTAAATATTGTAATGCAACACCACTTCTTTTCATAGAAACACGATATTGGTTGAGTGTGCAGTGGTACCTAAACTCTATAATTAATTATGTCGCTGACTTAGAACAATACGACACTGAAAATAATTTGTGTACAAGAATAGTAAGATTCTTTTCACACATAAAATTAACAGGGAAAAAAAAAAATCAACAACATACCTATATATATATATGAGAAAGACTAATAAGATGTAAATGCTTATAGCAATGTGATAAACCAACACTCAGGTATTTGTAGTGAAGTTTTCAGCATACTATCTGTAATTGTGAACTGTCTTATACATATATAAACAAAATGTAATGTTGTTTTTAATTACTGTATATTATAGTCTTGGTCAGTCTCATCTCTCTTCCTAATCTTTCATGCATTATATTTTCATTAGCCTCAGTGGATTTATTGTACTGCCAATACTGAGTCATGTTAGGACCACCAATAAGCATAAATCAATATACAGTACAATAGCTATAATCTCTATATAAACCTTCACAAGAGTCCTTGGTTTTGCAATTCCAAGATCAACAACTACTACAGAGAGCAATGGAGTCTGCTAAAGAAATGGCCCATGGGCAGAAGCCGAAATGGGAAGGCAAAGCCTGTGCAGAGCTAGCAGGTGCAAAGGCAGAACAAGTATGGCCTTTCTTGGAAGACTTCTTTGGCCTAAACAAGTGGTTTCCAACTCTCCACACATGCCTTCCTGTTGAAGGCGTCTCCGGCCAACCTGGCTGTGTGCGTTATTGCGCTGGCTTCAAAACTCCGGTCAACAGTGGCGACGACATCATAAATTGGACAAAGCAAAAACTACTGTCCATTGATCCAACTGAAATGACATTTAGTTATTCCATTATAGATGGAAATGTGGGGTTCAACTCCTATGTTTCCAGTGTTAGAGTGGTCCCAAGGGAAGATGGGTGTAACATTGAGTGGTGTTATGAAGTTGAACCAGTGGAAGGGTGGGTATTGGAGAATCTGGATACTTTTATTGGCTCGGGGTTGCAAGTCATGGCTAAGAGAATGGAAGAAGCTGTTTCCGTTGGCGTCGCTACCGATATATCAAATAATTAATTAGTCCCTACTGATGCTAGCTGCTTTGATTGTTCTTGATGTTTCCTTTGAATTATTATATTCTTGTCTAATTAAATATTTGATGTTTTAGGGTCAAACTGGCTAGCAACTTTCTGGTTTACCAGGTTGGTAGAACATGTCACTTAATTGGTTAATGTTTTGAATAAAACAGGTGCATTTGTATTCCTCTGTTTTTTGCTTTATGGTGTAATATTTAGCAGTATGTCACTGCAAATAAAGCAAGTGGAGTGAAACTTATCTGATGTCAGACCTATCAATTTATTGGCTTGTTTTCCAGATTTTGGAATATATATTAAAGTTATAATTTGGTTTGCGAGTGTTTAAATACATAATTCTCATTGCAATATTCAGCAGCCAAAATTTAACTACTCTTACAATTGTTATGGCCGCAAAAACCATCATATTACAGGATGTGCAAATATTCCCAGTTATATTTCTTGTAAGACCTAGCCATGTTTTGATTATGACTAGCCATGGGTGTAAAATCTTGGTATACATTGTTGGATCGAAATTTTTGGCAGCTTCAACTTTTGTGATAATTAATATTCTGTGTGTATTAAGGACCATTAGGTACAAAGAAGATAAAAAAAAAAGTGCTTTGCATATATACCACTTTCCTAAGGTAATGATTGAGTTAAATCCATGAAGAGCTGCATAGAAAGTACTAATATTTTTGGCGTGTCATGGACTGCTTTTTCTCCAAATTCTTTTGCTCTTCACTAAATTATACTAAAGCTCAGTGAAAATGGAAACATGTAAATTATGGTGTATATGGAATCATAATCTCATTAAAAAAAATTTAAATGTATATATGCAAAGTGATCATAAGATGTGCTGATTAACCGTGGAATCAAAAAGCACAATCAATCTCAACATGGAACAAAGAGAGAATGAAAGGAAAGAAGGCACCCAGGCGAAAGTGATTGCTCTTGCCAATGAAGCTGTCACATTGTCAGTACTCAATACATCACCTTACCCACCCAAAAAAAAAAATGAAAAGTCAATAAATTATTCAATATCTAAAAACACTTGAAACAACTATTACCATTCAGACGACAGCACACATCACTTTGCAACTACAGCAACTACATTGGTTCTAGCTTTCGGGCAAACCACACATACAATTGAACATATGAACATATCCCATCAAATCTTTAGAAGAAGAGTGCTAAAATAGAAAGAAAACAATACGAAACAAAACAATAACCACCACATCAACATAGTAATTTAAGTTCAGAAGAAAATTGGATCGTGAAATTAATCGTAAGGTGCTAACCAATAAAATCATAGCATGCATCCAATTTGATCTATTCAAGTCACCATTTCATAAATAACCAATTATAAAACTAAGATTAGTCATCATACTACAGAACTGGAAAATATTATACAGCAGAGCAAAGCCATGTAATAAAATTTATTCAACTACATTGTAAAGATGCAAAGTTACCACTTACGTACATAATTTCCCAAACATAACTCAGCAAGAAAAATTAATTACCAAAAGCACAGATAAATATGGGAGGAATCTTTAAACTCTGCCTAACGCCCCCTTTCAAAGGCAACGCGAGTTCTACCAGATCCTTCATGGCCATCTCGCATGGACCCAGCACTTGCTTTCATAGTTCCTCCACCGCCAACTTTATCCATGGCTTTTTTACCCTTCTTCACCTCTGTCAAGAACTGGTCTAAACCAAACGGATCGGCTTCTTCTGCTTCCTTCTCAAATTCAACAGGCCTATCTCTTGGACCAGTCTTACCAGAGGCACCACCAAAACCCTTATCAGGTTTAAAGCGATCGGTTTTCATGATCTTATCCAACTGCTCATCTGCACCTGCACCTCCATACATATCAGAATCAGCATCTTTCTTTGGCCTGTACAGTGTCGAAAGGGTAGGTTGAGCAGTGAACAAGCCCTTATCATAAACATTGTACTGATCATCAGTAGCAAACCCAGAATCCATTCCCTTCTCCTGGTTAAATAATCTCTGGTCATACATAACCTCCCCTCCTCTTCCTGCTCCAGCAGAGGCCATCCCAAGAGCAATCTTTTCACTGACATCGCGGTCTCTATCTCTAGTGATCTTACTCTTCTTTCCTATTGCTGCATCCTTGGCCTCCAGCCTTCTTTCCCTCTCCCTTTCTCGGCGCCGCTCCTCTCGAATTTTCTCCCTCTGCAATCGCTCTTCCTTTTCCTCCTTTGTCTCCCTTGGGGCATCCTTATCCTTCATGCGCTCAAAATCCCCCCTTATATCATCAACATCCATCATAGCCTTGTCAGAAGGCATCGGAACTGCAGCTGGGGGTGCCACACCTGTTCTCTCAGACCGCGCCCTTTGAGCTAAAGCACGCAATTCCTGTTCTTTCTTTTCTTTCTCCTTCATCATCATTTCCTTCTGAACTTTAGATCTCATCGCCACTGCCTCTCTAGCTTTCTGTTCTGCAACATACAATGCTTCTGAAAGCTTCGCAAAATTATCATTAATCTGAACCTCCTGAAGTCCCCTACCATCTGCTGCAAGACGCTTATCAAGTGGAATTGTATACCCTTTTGGGTTTTTCCAGTTTGAAATACATGGTGGGATCTTCCAATCCTGCTGGTCCTTCACAGTCACAGGACGAGGTGGGGAGTGCATGATTGGCACGGGTGGAGAACCAGACGCCTTTGGAACCCTCTTGTGTTTGAATTTTGGTGGCTCTAAGGGATCCACGGGCATCTCAACCATCCTTATTATCCTCTCCTTTGCACCAGAATTAAAAGCCGCAGACTGTTGCGATGGCTTGTATTTGATGAATTTCGAATCAGAAGACTGTGTTGGCACGTTCTTTGGTTGTGCCGCACTCAACCTCACATTCACAATTTTCTCAAGAGCTGCTTTTGTCTCCTGGGTTGTCTCCTCAATCTTTTTCTCCAACTCAACATCCAAGTCCTCTTCCTCTTCATCATTTTTCAAAATCTTCGGCACAAGGTCTCTGTGTTGTGAATAAACTACCTTAGAAGCATTCTCATTTTGCTTCACAATTGCATCATATCTCACATTACCATGCTCGTCAACAGTGACGGGCAGCGTCTTCCTTCCAGGAGCCGCATCTTTCTTCCTACCCATGTCAAGAGGGTACTGGGCATAGTGAATTTCTGGGAACGCCCCTCCATCTCCAAAATCTTCAGGCTTAGATGGCTTAAAGCCATCCCTCTTCAAGTATGGTGGCACTGGCTTTGCTTTGATTACAGCAGATTGTTCAGCCTCAGTTGCGCTGTACCTCTGCTTGAACCATGGATCATTGGAGTGGTCGTAATGCGAACTCCCAGTTGATTTCACTGGTGGAAGAAGCTCCTTCAAAGCTGCCATCAGAAACCCTTGCCAAAGCCAGATGAATACCCAAGACTTCACTACCTCCAAATCCTGAAATAAGGAAGGAAAAACAAAACAAAACAAAAAATTAGTAAAATTAAACCAAAAAATATTAAAAAAGCACAACAATGAATCAGAAAAGTAAGAAGCCGCATGTACTATAAAAGGAATAATGGTGAAAAAGGACATTTTCCTGGTATGAGTTTAGACACACCGATAGGGATTGGATCCTTAATTATACACATCTGTTCTAGGTTTGCTAGTTTCGTTTGGTTAGAATGTTAATTTAATGTTGCTTGGTACAGCTGATTTATGTGAACTGTTTTACATTTCATTTCATTAACTGATTTTCACCTTGTAATTGTGCCATGTGATCATTAAAATTGTTTTAGCCTCTGTGTTTGACAATGTTGTAACAGTTCTTTTGGTGTTTCTTTGCAGGATTTAATGTTTTTAGGTCTGAACGGAGGTCTTATAATGATCATTCACCTTAAATCCAGGCTTGGGACTAGTCCTCCAATATCAATGGTGAGAAGTGAGGTCTATACTTTTGCACTTATGTTGTATCATATTCTATCAGTCTATGTCACTGCATAACAATTGGAAGGCTTTTTGTTATTAGAAAAGAAAAATAAATTAACCACGGGGTAGTCAATGGTTCCATAAGCAAAATGCACAAAAGCTAAGGAATCGGCAAAACCTTATCCCAGATGCTCAGGGCTGGCTTTCTGAATTATTTGAATGCTGCCTCATACCTCAAAGATTAAAACGGATATTGATTGGTATATTAATGCTGCCTCATATATGTTGAAGGGACAAGATTCAATCAATTAATAAGACAGAAAATTTATTATAAAAGCAGATCCCCAAAACAAAAGAAGTTTCAACCACCTTCAAGATTTTGTTTACTAGATAAAATATTTCTGGCATTTTACTAGTACAAAGAAAAAAAAAAGGCATTTAACAAATAATGCCAAAGATTATTTTCCTACCAAGTTTGCTCCTCACAAGACACAACACCCTTGATAAATGGGGACTTGGGCTGGAATGATATCTATCAGTTTAATCTTGCTAGAATTCATCTTTTTTGCTAGAAATAGTCTTATATAAGCTCCTCTCAATTCAGGTTTGGCACATTTCAATGACTTGATATCCTCGGACATGACCAGGGATTTTGACTTGACTACTAAAGATAACTAGTTGTCTACCGTCTATCTATGCGTACTGAAAAATTGTACAAATTGCAAGTATCAACAGAACTGTAATCCATGGATCTATATAGGAGAGTTGTCTGGTTCAAAAATCCATCCTTTGAATCATAATAAAATGTATATATAAAAATTCTTCCTTCATATAATCAAACTTTAAATGTTGTATAATGGAGACTGAATTTTTTGGCCTATATTTCCATGCACTCGAAAATGAAAAACCATTAAACCCACACTTTTGTACTCTTGTTATCTTTCAACTGAATGTTGTTTTCAATGTTGTCCAATAAACTTATAGCCTGTTCAGATGTCCCTTGAATTTCAAAAGTCCCATTTACATTTTACATAATTATTTTTATGTAGAAGTTTATCATCTTGAATGGAGCCATTAAGGAAAAAAAAGGGAACTGTATTGTATCTAGTTTTCTTCGACTCTTTACCATCTCCGTCACCACCGTCATCTTTACCCTTCTATGCAGATTGCCCTTGATATTCATTCCCATAAACTATGAATATGAGGAGCCATCTGCATATATTTATGCACACATAAATTTGACCCAAAGTTAAATATAACATCTTTTGCTAAGATATATAATATTTGAGTTCTCTACTCCTCATTCTTCTTCATCAATTTCTGTTAACTGATATTGAGGTATTCAAGACGCGGCATCTTTTGAGGGAAATGGACACCATAACAAGATCATGGTTCTTCCTATGTGTTCAAGTCCTGTTTCTCTATTGGAGGTGATACTCTTTCAATGGGCCAGTGACACCAGTCTCTCTCAATAAGTCAGACCCTGGTGTCTCAAGGTACAATTTTTGAACTAGGTTTCTTCAAGAAAGGTACTTCACTTAACATCTACCTTGGCATACGGAACAAAAAATTTGCTGAGCAGATCATAGTTTGGATAGCTAACAGATAACAAAAGTTGTTTGATGTATGCATGCATCTAAGGTTAGGGTTTCTATTACATTAATGTATGTATGCATGTAAGGTCGTGATCTCAGCGTTGGCTCTGGATTTGGATTACGAAACTTGTGATAGAAACGAGAGAGATTCCTGCAAAAAACATAAACCTGCTATTGTTGTCGGGGTTGAGTTCATAAAAAAAAACCCTAATTCCAACAGCTAGGGGACCATGCAACAGTCGTGAAGTATCCTGGCACATCCATCACAGATGTTACTAACACAGATGTATTGAGAATATGATATATAATAAGGTAGCCTTCGTTTTCGTTTGATATAAAATTGCAAACGAAAAAAAACTCCCTCCATTCAGGAAAAGAGCTAAAACTATAACCATTCCAAACTCCAGTGCTCCAATACCTCTTGGACTTGTTCCACTCTATAAAATATTGATTTCTTCCAACCTTAATGAGAACACACCAGGAGAGGGATCTTCTGATTTTTTTTTTTCATGAAGCCAGTGAATTTATTAATCCCTATCTTTGCAGCTGGCAGTCATGTATCTGTAGCGTAATCAAAACTCTGCTAATATATAGTAAATGGACTTAAAACGTCTCTTACTACAAAATTGCCCCCAATGCTATGCATTGGGGCACAATGTGTTGCCACCTGGGTGGTTAGGGGTGCTCTAGTAGAAGGGTGGACATACCTTCCAGTAGCATGTGTATCCCCAAAGATGGTCATCTTGTTAAAATGCTTACAACCCTGTCTTTGAAATTTTTTTGCACCCCTGATGACCTACAAATTATTATCTTAACATTAAACTTTATAAAACCCTTTAAATAGTCATTAAATGCTAAAAAAAAATTTGTATGGTAAATAGACATAACATAATTAAACACTAACCCTGAGCAACCATTCCCATTTTTCATCTTCTACTACATACCTGTCTCACGGTTGCACCCCACACCAATCTCAACTAATAGTTTTTTGAACTCTTTATACACTAATCTCATTGTGTTGAATTTTTGTCTACATTTGTCCTTCGTGTACTTCTTTCCAATTTCTACCAACATTTTCTCCACAATATGTCTCCACCCAATTAAATTAAAAGTGGTACTTGTACGATTTCCTTGCTTAACGTCTTCCTCCATAAAGAGAATGAATGTCTCTTGATGGGCGTCACACCAAGCTGTGGAATTGGTCTCTACGGTAGCTATTGTCATATCTATTACGTCCTCTCCTTCCAATTCAATTGTGTTGAAATTTTGTTCATCATTTTGATTATTGATTTCCATCTAATTAATTTTAAGTAAATTTTATAATTTAGTTCATTTATAAAGCATGCAGAAAAAGAAATACAATATAAAGCATGCCCAATATTGAACTCCTTTTGATTTTTTCAACAAAATTCATTAAAAATCTTTAAATAAAATAAAATTTTAATGGGTTCTCAGTTAAGCACTTGTAAGTAGGAGTCTCATTCGTTTATCTCTCAGAGTCCAGCTATGCAAGCATACCTTGGACTCGCTGAGACTTCACCACTCCACACATCTGTCACACACACACTACTGACTACACACAAAAAAAAACGAAAGCAATAAAAAAAGAAAGACATCAATTAGAACCATTGATGTGGCGGAAAACAGGAAGCATAGCAGTAAAAACAGCTAGTGAGAGGTGAACTAATTAAAGTTGCATGTATATTAATACGCTGATATCTCAAAATTAAAGAAAAAACTTCACCACACTTGAATACCAAAGTCAAAGCAATTAAACAAGTAGCTAGACTTTAAAAATTATACTTGACCAATATATCCATACAAGCACTCTTCATTCTGTTTTGGAAAATAGGTTGATGTAGGAGAATTTTTGTTAGTTTTCAAACCTAAATCTATATAAAGAATAATAAATTAGAGAAAAGAAAATATTGAGCATCATACCTTAACACACACACACACACACTGACACACATATACTTTCATCATTTTTTGTACTTCAGTTTTTGAAAGATATATACATATATAATATTCAATCTTTTAATGATTCTGTGTCTAAAGAAACTTTCTAATGAAATACTTACTCCGCCGAAAACCAGAAACTGAATCAGAAATAATTTATTTATTTTTTTTGATATGTTAATCAGAAATAATTATTAGAACGGTGTTCAGGAAAACAATAAGCATGGATTGAGTTGAGAATTTGGGTAATTACTTGTAACCAAGGTTGTTAAAATCAGGATTCTAAGTAGAGTCGTCTTGGGTTCCGTAGAATTGGAATAGTAAGATTCTAACAATTTGTAAAAAAAAAAAAAATTCAAAATACTTTTTTAAAGAACAGTGTTTGTAAAATATAGCAAGAATAAGGCCAAAACACAAAAAAAATTGAGACATAAACATAACAGAACACACTCAAAATTGAACAAATTCCTCAAAATCATCATCACCTAGTAGTCACATGCTCACGTATGGACTATGGACCAAGTAGTTATTAATATGTTTATGATTCGAAACAAATCACAACACAACAATATAATACTGCTTCTGAAAGTTCAATTGATATGAAATTGAAAACGCCAAACATAAATTATTGCAAATCACATTATTTAACCTCCCCAGCCAAATCAGATTCAAAACTTTGTCAACATAATTCTCAAAACAAAACAACCTAGAATATGAGCCACTTGATTAGTTTCTCTGTAAATAAATTTGCACAGAAGATAGAATGGAAGCAGAACCAAAAAAAAAAACCAAACAAAAAAACCCTTGAGTTTGTAACTTTGTTAAGTAATCTGAGAGGTGAAAACTTAGAAGGTTAGAGGAGTAAGGATTGAGGACTTCGAACCTGTAACCAATCTTTGGCGTGAGAAGACTTGGTGTGTTCGCTGAATGTCGAAGAAGCGGTGAGAAGGCTCAAAGCTGCTCGTCAAAGAGAATCAGCTGTCTGAAATCTGAAATCGATTGATTTAGGGTTTTTTTGTTTTTTTTTTTCACCCTTATATTTTATTGTATTTTCTGATTTGGGCCCCCAAAAATGGTTGGGCTTTCTTATTGAGGACTTCGAAGCCTGTTTCAATTTATTACGTATCGAAAATGGTGCGAAGAAGGGCACGTACCGTGAATAGGATAAGCTCTTCCAAGCTTTGCAAAGAAAAAGCTCCGATCCTGATCGCGAACAAGGAACTAAGGTGTCAGCCGATTTGCCTTTGAATCCAACTGAGAGAACAAGATCGGAACGACAGCCACAACAAAGGATTGCAAAGAAAGGGGAAAGATTTGTGGGCGCGAAAACACGACAATAGGGTTTCTCCACAGCAGCGAGTCGAACCTGGTTTTCTAGGCCGGGCCGGCTAAGAAAGAGCTGATTCACACGGGGATCAAGTGTTAAAAACGATGAAAGATTATGGGAATCGCTTTCCCGTGCTGGGTATTAGGGAGGGCGTGGAGAGGGGATGCTTTTCTAAAGCAATGGTTCGCCTCTTTCGCTGTGGTATAGGGTTAAGGGCGGACGCAGCGACCCCCAAAATTTATTTATTTATTTATTTTTTTTAATATTAGCACAATCCGTAAAAAAAAGTATTATTATCCCAACATTAGCCATCCAAACAAGTCCAAGAACTAAACAATGGCGGACCAAACTGGCCCAAGCGAAACATCCCAACTTGATATGGGCCACTTTAGCAAAAACAAAACACTCAAAACAAATATTATATCACGAACTAAATATGGCCTAAATATGTTATAATCTAAATATAAATTTTATTTTTAAAGGAATTGATTAAAATACACTTAATAATTTATTTTAATAAATTAACTACCCTATATTTTAGTCAAGTTTTATTGAATTAACATCAGACGTTTATGTTCTTATTGAATAGCGAGTATTGAAAATTTAACAGTCCTGTTTACTTAAAAGCATAAGTTTGCCTCCTAATTTTAACTTGGATTCTATTTGATTGTTATATTTTCCAAATGTCATGGTAATTTTGTAAAAAAAAATATAAAAAAAAAACTACTTTTCTAGTTTCAAAATAAAAATATATATATTTATTTAGAGTCAACAATAATAATCCTAATATATACCCCTTTTATTAAATTTACAACATGTGTCTTCAGGGTAAGAATTCAGAAGATAAATTAAGTTCTCACATTCCTAACTTAAATAGTATGTGCAATGTGCGGACTGATATACGTGCTCTAAGAAATAAATAATGGTTACAACATGCAGAGATGGGCAAACATAAATTCAAGATTTCCATTTGTACTTGAGAAATAAAAGGGCCTCATTAGTTGATAGTTGATACGGATAATTTGTCCTTAATACTAACAGTAGGAATGGAAAGAAAACTAAAATAACGAAAGTAGCATGTGGCTCAACGAATCGGGTCAGGCCGTGTGGCAGAGCACCAATCAGAAAGCAATCCCGAGCTCGGAAGACCGTAATTTCGTAGCTAATCAACTTGACCAAAACCACACTAATAAGTCTTCCTCCCCTGTCTGTCTTCTCACGACCTACAAAACCCTCAGTATCTATCCAAGAACTACCCTTTCTCTCTCTAAATTCAGAACTTGGTTTGGCCGTCAATGTCGGCCTCAGAGAACGCCAAAGGATCGTCCCTGCGACATGCTTTTGGGAATGTCCTTGCACTCTTCATTCTCCTCCTGATCGGAGTTCTCGCATTCTCGATCCGCCTTTTCTCAGTAGACTTCTGATCTCAAATTTAACTTTTTAATACGCATATATGATCACAAACGCTCACATACGCACATACACGTGTGTTTATATTATAAACATGTTTATATGTACGCACACACAAGTTAGATCCAATGGTTGAAACGTTATTCAAATTAAGAACTTAAGGCCTTAGGGCTTTTATTTTTGTGGAAAAGAGTTGGTTGTATGCGTTCAATTTGTACTTGGGGTCGTATAATTATATGGATTGATTTATGATCACAGGTCATAAAGTACGAGAGTGTGATTCACGAGTTCGATCCTTATTTCAATTACAGAGTCACTCAGGTTTGATTTCTTCATTGACATTTGATATCTTTTCACTAGAAGTAACTGTTGTGTGTCATTTTCGTTTTCAATTACAGATAATTGTGACAGGAGCATCCAGTTTTGAATAATTCATAAGATTTTTCACTCAACCGACTAATATATATATATATATATATATTATTTGAACTATTTTCCAAGAAGTTGAATAAGCTTCAAAATGGATTCTTCAAGAAGTCGATAGGGATGTGTGAAGTGGGTGTAGCCAGCTCGTGTCTATATACATGTGTGTAATATGTTTGTGTGAATTAAGGTTTGGAAACATGTATTTTTATGATAACTATAACAGAGCATATATGTTGATGAAATCACGCATGGAGGTGGAACCATGGGTTGTATAAACAGTAGCTTATGAAAATTGAAACGTTGAAACTTCTGCAGTAACCCCGAAGTTTCCATCTTCCAGTTAATTGTTTCAAACTTTGTCCAAATTATATATTAAAATATTGGTTTTTAATTCATTTCAATTAATTATTAATTATTTTCAATATTTTACAAGTATACTGAAGATGAAAAGAATGTTTCTGATTTCAGTTTCTCACAAAAAATGGAATATATGATTTCTGGAATTGGTTTGATGACCGGACCTGGTAATTTCGATACAACTCTTGGATATTCTTTTAGTGCCATTCTTGTTTCCTTTATCTCTTCTATAGGTTGTTATTTAATTAACCTAACATTACACTTCATATTTTGTTTCTCCTAAGGTATCCTCTTGGGCGAGTGATTGGTGGAACTGTTTACCCTGGATTGACATTGACAGCAGGCACATTATGGCGGTGTGTACCTGAGATTGAGAAAACTCATTATAGTTGGAGATTAATGCCATTAATTTTGTCCCTGATATTTCTTACCAGATAAAACGAATTATATTGATTTGGGTTTTTAAGAAAATAAAAAAGTAGAAGAAACCTGTATGTGAGTCCTATGGCAGCTGATATTTTTGAGCCATTACTTTTTGATCGCAGGATACTTAATTCTTTGAATATTCCTCTATCCGTGGAAACTGTTTGCGTATTTACTGCTCCTATATTCTCTGCTAATGCTGCATGGGCGACCTACCTTCTGACAAAGGTTTTTTTTCTGGCTATACTAATTTGTGTTTCTGATTGTTGTTATTAACTTCATATTGTTTTTATTTATTTATTTTATATTGTATCCTAACTGAGATTTGCCAATCATTTTCAATTGCCCGTTCATATAGGAAGTTAAGGGCACTGGTGCTGGACTGACTGCAGCAGCTCTTTTGGCCATGGTAAATTGCAGAGAGTTTATTTGTTACTATTTTATTTTTGATGAAATTGTTTGAAAGTTTGATAAGTTGCTTTTGACATGTCATTTCAGCTTCGTTGTTTGAAGGTATATAATCCTGTTTTATTTATTTATATAAAAAAAAGAGAGATTATATAATCCCGTTTATCTAGATATTCTTGTCCCAGTTACTGTAGGTTTACATCAACAATGTGCTTTTTGTCGTACTTATGATCTATATGAATTGAAGGGACGCATAATGGACAAGGTTCCATGGTGTGTGTTATTTGTTGATGACTTTTTTTTTATTCTTTATCATTTTTTTGAAAAAAAATTGAGTTACTAACTAGAGCTAAATATGAAATTACAGCAAAAGTAGTAACTCAAAAGCGGATGTAGTGAATATTAATGTTTCAAGAGATGCCAAAATTTGAACTTTTTTATTAAATAGATTCTTTATTTTTATCAATGGAAAGATTGAAAATAATATTGCTCATAGAACTCTAGTGTGAAAATTTAAGATGAGGAGTGCTTCGGGGTATTGATTGATCGACTTTAACCTATAAAATTGAAAGGAAAATTCTAACATAATAAATATTAGTTAACACTTTATCTAATCAAGTATTGAGGGATATGGAAAAAAAAGTGTTCACAAAATGAATAAGATTGTATGCGGACTTTAAATTGAATATATGGTAAGGTAAGAAATGATCAAATTAGAAGTGAATATAGTATTGAAATGGCGGTAATAGCACACACTTGAGATAGAAAATTGTCTAAGATGATTTGGTTATGCATAGAGAACTACTATGCCCGCCATCGAGAAGAGTGATATGGTTCACATTTTGGGTAACGTTTGGAATAAAAGAAAATTAAAATAAATAAAAAATTATGGAGATAATAATGGTATACATAATAGCTTGCGGTTTAACTAAAGGTGATGTAAGATTCACATAACCACTCTAAATAATTGGGATAATGCTTTGTTGAGTTGTATCAGTAACTTAGATATTGCCATCTGTCTGTAATTGAAACAGAAGGTACACATGGTGTAATGGTAGACTTGTAATGAAACATGCCCTCGAGTGCAAAGTTAATGTCTTTGCAAGCTTTCGAATTAGTTTTCTTGTATTATAGTTCGTTGAGACGCATCCTTGCCATAGAATCACGAAGGATCATACAATTCTTACTGATAATTATGTTTAATTATTTTAGAGAAACATTTAATTAGAACTTAGGTGTGTCACTAGAGATTATATGTTATACGCCCAAAAATTCTTTTAATCTCTCACCGTCACAATGTGTAAATCACTCTTTTAAGTTTCGTAAGTGCATCCTGTTTAATTAAAAACTTTATCCATCACTACCAATCATATGAAAAAAGGAACTTTGACTTCTTTTGCTTCTGTCACACAATAGAAAAACAGGAGAATGGTCAACCTTTATATTTTAAATTCCATTATATTGTGAGGCACGTTGGAGGCTTGGAGAGGTTGTATAGTTGGAGCCGAAGCCCGAGACTTTTGGAGGATAGCAGCCCTGTATCTTTGGTGGTGCTTGTGGAAGGAACGGAATAGGAGATCCTTTGATGGCAGTCTTCTATTGGGGCACTGAATCTCATAAGTCTCAACCAATAACCTCAGTGCCTATTTATAGAGTTCCAAACTCAATTCCTTGTTGGACAAGGATTACAATTCCTTGGAGCCCAACAGTTGCCAAACAAGCAATTACCTAATAAAATACGACTCTAAAATAGAAGGCTAATTAGAATAGGAAGTTAAGACACAATTTCCAACAGGTATAATGTTGGTAGGCTGTGAAATTTGTTGTCACTTGTCAGGCATACATAATAATATTGCCCAAAGATCAAAGTTGTTATGTTGATGTATGCAAACAATGTTAGTTCAGAGCCAGAAATCGTGTGATCCTTGTATATCAGAGAAATCTAAAGGGGCCTATGCTGGCAGCAGTAACCTGTGAAGGTTCTTGTTAGTGAATGTTTGGAGGTTTACAATGTATGTTCTGAAGTTATACTGAGCTGTGTTTGGCAGGAACTACATGTTCAGCTACAAATGAGGGAATTTTGGAATGCGATTTGGTATCAATTGGAACATAATTGTAGTCAATAATGTCTTAGAGGGTGTCATTAGAACCTGGAAATCGTAACTCCAATCAACAGGATTTTGTTATTGCTGAGGCATATTTGTGGTAAGAAATGTTTTAGAGGATGTCTCTAGAAATTAGGCAAGCAGAGCTCAAGTTTCCTTGAAAACTTAAGAACAATGTTTGGCTACTTGCATTTGGTGGTTTTAGAGATTGATTTCCTGTCAAATCAGTCAACATATGCAAGCTGTACCTTCTGCAGGATACATGTTAAAGTTTCGGAAGAATCATTGATAAGTCCATTTTGAAAGAGTACTTGTGATTAATAGTACTCGCTGTGAAATTTGGGTTCTGGACACTAGACAGAGCACAGAGGATCTGGTGGGAGTCTTAGTCTGTTTGCCTGAGAGTATGAGACTGTTTTCTGCTATGGATAACTTACAGAATGAAGTTATATATAAATTTTAATATATTGTATTTATTTGTTTGATAAGTTCCCACAATGTTTTGTTTAAAAGACAAATTTCTGTTTAAGACATGCTACTATTTTGTATGAAGTGCACTGCTATATGTATTTTATGTTATGTCATCCATATTACGATGGCATATTATATGGTACTCTCTTTAATGTTACTGTTTGCAGGTTCCATCCTACATATCTCGATCTGTGGCTGGCAGCTATGACAATGAAGCTGTGGCTATTTTTGCTTTGATCTTCACTTTTTATCTATACATAAAGGTTAGATTTTGATCAAAGTCATCTGATCCATTTGTGCCATATTTTCTACTTAAAATAACTACTGTGAATATCTCCCTTACTGGATAATAGTTGATCATTTTTTATTTGTTTCTCATCAATTCCTTTCAGAATTATGGACATGGAATATTATCATATATGGTTAACTATTTCTTGACTGATTACTCATTATCCTGCAGACGCTGAACACAGGATCCCTCTTTTATGCGACTTTAAATGCCATATCATACTTTTACATGGTAAATTTTGTGTGCTAGTGTTGCAAGTGGTCTCTTTCTGCCTCTCATAAAACTCATGGTTGTCAGCATATTGTTTCCTTTTTCAGGTTTGCTCTTGGGGAGGGTATACCTTTATTATTAATCTCATTCCAATGCACGTGCTTCTGTGTATTGTAACCGGTCGTTATTCTTCCCGGCTGTACATTGCATACGCTCCATTTGTAAGTATCTGGGAGCTCATTAAGCTTGCATGATAGTCAAAAACAATTACTATGTGTTTTAGCATGGAGATTGAAGAATGCCTTTTAGTATTGTCTTAGAATCTGATAAAAAGGATAGGGAGGGTGCTATACATGTACAAACTCAACCTGACAAAGCCTTTCTACTTGAGGTCAATAAAAAAGTAGGTTTTTTTAGCAGACTTTGGAAGGGTTTGGGGCTTGAGGCATGAGGACATGCTAGGGACACAAATAAATGGTGTGGAGAGAATTCACTCTCATATTTTCTTCATATATATGCCATACATAAAGATGTGAGTTATCTTGCTTAAGGAAGATGTAGAACTTAGATGAGGATATTCTAAGCAGTACAAGAAGTTACGGTTTCTTGATTTCATATCCATCACTAGAAATGTTTTTTTTTTTTTCTCAAAATTTCAGGAATGGGATGGTTGAGAGTTCAATTGTTCTCTTTTGATTTATTGGAGTTGTGGTCAGCATTTTCTTCTTCGCCCCCATAGCACACTGTTAAAGCGAATTGAACAAATTTTAAGCTCTAGTAGTTGGAGGAGATATTAGTCAAATTTATTTAAATGTTAGCTGCTTGCCTTTAGGCAATATGCCCTTTTCCCTTTTGCAGTTTTCTGCTATTGTTTGGAAATGCTAAATGCATGTTACAACACTCATTTTCTTTCTGCTGTAACTTTCCAACATTTGACACCAATGGAGGAGATATGTCAAAAGTTATTGAAATGTTAGCTGCTTGCCTTTAGGCAATATACACTTTTTCCTTTTCAGTTTTCTGCTATCGTTCTTGGAAATGCTAAATGCATGTTACAACACTCATTTTCTTTCGGCTGTAACTTTCCTACATTTGACACCAAGAATTTATCTCTAGGATAAATATTTCTGCTCCATAAATTTTTAGTAAAGAATTTGTTTGTTCTCACTAAAATTTTAGTTGTTCAATGCAGGTTGTCTTGGGAACATTGTTAGCCTCATTGGTGCCTGTTGTTGGGTTTAATGCTGTCATGACATCAGAACATTTTGCATCGTTTTTGGTGAGTTCCTTATTGATAAGTGAATTTTGCATTGTTCTTGTCCATTTTTGATGTACTTATGATTTAGTATCTTGGGGTGTCTATTTTAACCTAAATCATGGGAGATTTTTTTAGAGATATGTTAAAACCAATATTGCCAGTCTACAGTCTGTTATGTAACTATGTTGTGCTTGAGCTGTTTCAGCTAGATTGACAGTGTTGTAGTGTTTATAATATATAGCATCTATTTATTCTTAACTTGTGCATTAATCTGTGGCTCTAACGTTAGTAGTAAGTCAGAGAACTATATAGCTTGGTTAGAAGGCTTTATAAGGAAAGAGGGATGTGAATAATAGTAGAGTTGGAGTTTTTAATTCTTAAGTTGGATATAGATTAGAAAAAGTAGACGATGTGTCATATTTTTTATTTTTTTATTTTTTTATTTTTTGTCTTGTGTGTTTTTCTCTACTCTTTAAGATAAATCTCATGCATTAATTAATTTTGAGAAGTGGTTTCTCCTTGTCTTTTATTTTTTCGCATTCCTTTTGAAGCATTGAATTGTCAGTTCACCAGCAATCCCATGTCATAGGGTATTGCTACATGAAAATGTGGTTTTCTTACTCAGCTTAGTTCATTCTTATTCTTTCTCTTCATGATTGCATCAAGAAGGGGATTCACTTTTTCTATTCACAATTGTGGGTGAACCATTGAGTAGGTTCACCTTCCAGTTGTTGGAGGAATCTTGTTTGCTTGATAAACATGAGTTAATTCCAACAAAGAGTGTGGTGGATTGAGGACTAATTGTCCATGGCCATGAAGCTAGTTCTATCTGGCAAATGGGTGTAGTTTGAAGAAGCAGGATAGTCTCTGGAAGAATATTCACATTGCAAAATATGGCTTCTCATTATATGAACTGTTGACATGGTGTTGGAGGGATGGATCATGGTGTTGGCTCTCGGGATATTTAGGCATGTTTGGGTCTCCGGGACTAGATCTGAGGGCTAGGCAAAGGCGTGAAGGCCATGACATGGCATTCACAACGCCTTCTAATGACATAGTATTGACCCAAGCCAGTATGCCAAGTAATACGAGCCTTGCAGGCTGGTATTTCCAGTTCTGGTATGATTGGCTTTAATCCCATGGCCCAGTTGGTTTTGTCTTTGGCAGTAGAGATGGCAACTGGGCGGGGGGCTGTTCCCCATCCCCGCCCCTGTTTAAGTTTATATCCCCCGTCTCCGCCCCAAAACCGTTTTAAGAAATGCCTCCCATGCCCTGACCCTGCAACCGATTAGAAATTCTAACCCCACCCCGCTTGTAACCCCCAAAAAATAAATTGTAGAAACCCAAAATTTCTTGGAACATGGAGAAGAGCTATAGAAAACAACGACGAATCTGAACAAGGGTGATGGTCTTGTGGGCGAGTGTTTTCATGAAGATCTGCTTCAGTGGACTAACGCAATGATCAAAAAATCATTTATCATTAATACAGAGATTTAATATTTTTGTTTTTCAAAGATTAGACAGATCTCGCAGATCAATAAATCAATGAATCAAAACAATTATCAGGGAATAAGTTAAAAGAAAAGAAAAAAAGAAAAGTGTAAAGCCATATCAATAGATTCAACTTTTGAAAAAGAAGAAGAGATCAATAGTTTCAACTGTTGATTAGAAACCATCTCGGCAGACAGATTTCAAGGACACCAAATCAACTGAAGAAAAAGGAAAATTGATTATCAAGATTGCCTTGTCGTAGATTGGTTTGCTGTGGAAAAGGCATGCGAGCATCACCAGCGATCAAATCTTATTTGTTCCATGAAGATAATCTCAAACTACGAAATCAGATTCATCGATTCATTGAATAAATCTCAAACTACTTTAATAACAGGGAACAAACAAACAATAAAACATGGTCTTCACCAACAGTTAATTTTATGCCAGTTACTGAAACTTTTTCTTAGCCTTTGCCATCTATACCTTTTTTGTTGTTTTGATTTGATAAGGTAAGTGGCCATGGATACCTGTTGGTACCATTAAAAAAGTAGCTTTGCAATACACTCATAAAAGTCTTATTATATACGTTTTTGGTTGGCTTGATTTAAGTGTGGTTTGCTCAAAGTGGATACTAGGGTTTCTGCTTTAATCTATTCTGTTATAGTTCTTTTGAGTATATGCCTGTAGGAAGGGATTGAGTTTTGTTTATCTCTAATTGGTAGCAAGAGTGAAAATAGTACCATTTGTGATTATATGTACATGCGTAGGCTACTTATCAAAAAAATATGTACATGCGTAGGCTAACATCATATGGAAATTGAATTGAAAAGAAGAGTATAGATCTACATTTAGGGATATACTTTTTTAAGTTAACGTATGCAGTATAGCTCTAATTTACTTTGCCTGCACTCTTGTTCATTGTACTTAAGGCCATGCACATATACTTTCTATCATGTTATGATTGTTATCTACTTTACCCTTTTTGTTCCTTGATACCGATTATTCTTGGGGCTAATTTTTTGTCTACAGGTTTTCATTATCCTCCATGTGGTGGCTCTCGTGTATTATATTAAAGGGATTCTCTCTCCAAAAATGTTTAAAGTAGCTGTCACACTTGTTCTATCTATTGGCCTGTAAGCTTCCCTATCTTTGATTTCATCACACTTGTGAACAGGGTAATACGAAATAACAAATAGAGATGGCAACACAGAAGTAAATATAGCTGTTGCTTTGGTGCATCAAGATTTTTTCCAATCATGTTTTTAAAGTTCTTTTAAATAGTATTTGCACAAGTTTTCTTTAACTTGATCAGTTGAATTTAAGACAACTTTCCTACACCACATCACATTATCATGGCAAGCTAACATGGTCTCGCGACGTCCTGTATTTCTTCACAGATCAGTAGTTGTGAAACATTCTCTCTTGACTAATTATATATTTATAATTTTATTATGCAGGGTAGTATGTTGTGCTGTGGTAGCAGTACTTGTAGCATTGGTAGCTTCTAGCCCAACAAAGGGATGGAGTGGGCGAAGTCTGAGCCTTCTTGATCCGTAAGTAGCTTCTCTCACAGTTCATTTCATGGTCTTATATTGCTATTACTTTTAATCTTCTTGAAGAGATTTGATGAATTTTCAGTGTGACATTTTGGGAAGCAACTTGGTCCAGTGCACCATAAAACCTGAACTACGGTTTATTTTGGTTCTCTGGTGGGACTTAGGTCCTTAGTTTGCCGAAATTGGTAGTCTTTTTTTTTTTTTTTTTTGGGAACGAGGTACTAAACTTTATGATTAATCCTTAAATTGTATTCAATAGATGTGTGGTAGTGGAAATATATTTATTCACTGGGAGGGTTTCTCTTACCCAGCTGTCACTCCTTACAACCTTTGCCGAGCGGAACACCACTCCTTTTCATTTATAGAGGCACCTCTTGCTCTTGGACTTTCTGTTGTAAAGTCATTGGGTTTAACTGCTATAATTTCATGATAAATGGATGATACAATCAGGGGCGGAGCCAGGATTTTAGTTTAGGGGGGGCACAATGTTAAGAAAAAAAAAATTATTTAAAGGAGTAGAAGGGAAAAAAATAAGAAAGAGGAAAAAAAAGTAAGAAAAATGACAACTTAAAAAGGAAAAAAATAAAATTTAATTTAACAAGGAAAATTTAACTTTTTTTAAGGAATTTGAAGTGTAAATTAGGAAAAAAAAACTAGAAAAATAAGAGATAATTTTAAAAACTAATAATTTTAGCGGGAGCATTATATAAAAATTTCCAAATATATACATATAAATTATTAAAAAAAAATTGTATATGTATAGTGGGCGGGCCAGGCCAGGGGGGGCAAGTGCCCCCCCCCCCCCCCCCCCCCCCCCCGCGGGCATACACTGGCTCCGCCCCTAGATACAATCATTTTTTTATATATATAGAAAATGTTACCGTATAATTTGAAGTTTTAAACTGCCTAATTCATTTTGGTTTTTGCTTCTGGTAGCTGTAATATGGTTCTTATTTTTGGGTTAGAAACTTGGGTGAACTTAGAGCAGTTTGGTTCTCGTTTTGTCCCAAAACTAACCAGGTTGCAATAATTGTTATCTGAAATGTGAATTGCTCATTGGCCTTCCGAGATTGACTTTAGACTTGACACTTCTACTTCAGCAACTGGAAAGAAAGGATACGTTTTTTTTTTTCCCCTGCCTTCTTTCTATCTTTCTATCACTAATGTGAGACTCTTTCACTAGAATCTTTAATGTATTCATTTTGTTGAGTCTCTGGAATGAGTTACAATGCTTCTTATGCATAACTGCAAAGGATATTTACCATTTTTCTAATACCTTCCTATGTATTCTGTTTCAAGTTGTCTTATATTATCCTTCTTACATACCTTTTTATTTTATTTTTATTTGTGACAGAACTTATGCTAGCAAGTACATACCAATTATTGCCAGTGTTAGTGAACATCAACCGCCTACTTGGCCATCTTACTTTATGGACATTAATGTTTTAGCATTCTTGGTTCCAGCTGGCATTATTGTAAGTCTAAAATGTGCAACTCAATTTTCTTGCTATTTCTGTCCTTTTGTTCTTTTTCATATCATATTGTTTTCAACTATAACTTTTGACTGTGCGGTTTAAAACTGTTAATCTGTCTGTTTCCATTTGGTAGTCATGCTTTCTGCCGCTATCTGATGCAAGTGCCTTTGTGGTCCTTTACATTGTTACATCAGTATATTTTTCTGGAGTCATGGTAAGGAGAATTTTTGGGATGGCCAATTTCATTTTTTTTTTCTTGTCAATTCTTGGTCTTCATTTTTTATTTCCACCGACATTACAGGTGCGCTTAATGCTTGTATTTGCTCCAGCGGCATGCATAACCTCTGGAATTGCTCTTTCTGAAGCTTTTGATGTTTTTACTCGATCAATCAAAACTCAGTTACCAGGAATATCAGAAAATCCCCAGGTTGATGTAAGAATTTCAGCTCTTTTCCTTCAAAAGATATTATTTTTAACCATTAAATTGTGAAAATTCAGCTTCTAGACTAAGATAATTTTTTTATGGTGCTGTCCATTAAGGCAGGGGATACTTCTGGTAGTGTTGTTACACAAAATGATGTGGTGAAGACTGATAAAAATGAAGATCCTATAAAGGAACGACCTTCGAGAAAGCATAAGAAAAAGGAAAAAGAGACTGTAGAAAAGGCTTCGATTAAGTCTCACATTCAGAAGAGGCTTCTGGTTTTACCTCTGGAGACATCAGTCATTGCTATTTTCTTACTTGTGTTGCTAGGTGCCTTCTATGTGGTACATATACTTTCTTGTTATCTATTTTCAATGGGTAGTAATTGCATGTCATGATTTCTGTTTACAAATCTGTATCTGTGTACGTCATGTTTTTTAGGCCAATTTCATGAAACCTGTTGATGTGCTGTAATGCATTTTGTTTAAGCCCCTTGCCCTCCACCCTCTAAAAAAAAAGTAAAATAAATACAGTAAATAATAAGATTAACATTAACTAGTTTGACTACTTCATATATATATATAGGGGTCATTGTATGGTGTAATGGTAAAATTCTCGGACTTTCAAGCGTGAAAACGTTGGTTTGAATCTTGAGAGCAACCACTTTGACCGAAAATTGTCAAATGTTAGGTATGTTACCAGTCTTTCCCTCCCAGGACTCTTGATTATTGGAGACCACATTGGGTAATGACCCTTTTTTATGTGTTAGTAGCTGATTGAAATGGAACGGATTTTGTCATTTATAGGGGTCATGGTGTGCTATGCTTCATTTCCTTTGGAGCAAGACGCTAATATTATTTATGCATATGGCAGCTTGATTTCTGTATCATTTACATGTTGAGTAGCCATCAATGATTGAACATATGTCAAGTTCATCATCTATTTCAAACCTGGTTATCACCACCCACCCCCTTCAAGAACGATCTCCTGTAGTGGTGTTCCTTTCCATCCTCTTCCTTTCATTTTTAACACATTGCAATGAAGTTTTGGGGTAACCTCCTTTTTTTAGCTTCAATGATTCCCGAGTTTCCCATGAATACATGCTAATTAGCATTGACAAGCTCTTATATTTTAAACGTTAGTACTCCATACAGGGTAGTACTTAAATCATATGTCTTAGTTTGGTTAGATTTTGTTGCAGGAAACCTGGTAGTTCTTCATGTAATTCTCTTTTTTTGATTACATGGTAGTTTTGCTGGGTCTTTTATATGCAAGTGATATTTCTTCTTGTAGGTTCATTGTGTCTGGGCAGCAGCAGAAGCTTATTCAGCCCCTTCTATTGTTCTTACATCTCAATCTCATGATGGTCTTCATGTTTTTGATGATTTTAGAGAGGCTTATTCATGGCTGAGCCACAATACTGAGGTGGATGATAAGGTGAATTATACTCTCCGCATTTTCCCTATTTTATATAGCAGTCCTCTTTTATTGTTGATTTTGTATTGCTCCCCACTTGTTAATCTGGTTTGCCAATCTGATGCCCACACTCAATGTTTCGCTCATTAGGTTCATACTGGAATCGTAGTTTGCATTTTGCAAGTGTGTGTTGAATTATGATCATTGTTTATACGAGTGTTCTCAAGTTATATAATTGCACTTATCAAAAAAGTTATATAATTGCATAAACTAATTACAATTATCATTCCTAGTTGAGTTACTAAGGAATTGTGGCGACCTTGTGTGTGTGTGTGTGTGTGTGTGTGTGTGTGTGTGTGTGGTGGGGGGGGGGGGGGGGGGGGGGGCGCGGGTGCGTGAGGTACCAGACTACCACACTGGGCAAGCTGCATGTGCACAATCCCACATTGCCCTGAGTGTGGAAAAGGGGAAGTGCTATATATGTAGGTGTGTTAATCCAATTGGTATGAAGCCTTTTGGGGTAAAACCTAAGAGCAAAACCGTGTGGGCTCGGGCACAAAGTAGACAATATCATACCATGTGGTGGAATGGGTCATTACAAATAGTATCAAAGCTTGACCCAACTAGAAGTATGGCCAACGAGGACGCTGAGCCCCAAGGGGGGTGATTGCGGCGACCTTGTGGGTGGGTGCAAGAGGTATTGTCTGGGTTTTACAAGGGGAGACTTGTCCCACATCGAATCTGGATGGGAAATGACTCGGGTATAAATGGGTGGGTACGCAGCACTACTCAATAGCTTAAGCTAGTGGGTAAAAGGGCAAGCGCCCACCCGTTACACTAGGCTACAACACTGGGCGAGTTACAGGTGCACAATCCCACATCGCCTGGGTGTGAAAAAGTGGAAGTGATATATATGTAGGTGTGTCGCTCCAATTGGTATGAGGCCTTTGGGGGTAAAATCTAAGAGCAAAACCGAGCGAGCTCGGGCCCAAAGCGGACAATATCATACCATGTGGTTGAGTGGGTCGCTATAGTTATAGACATAAATATGCTTTTGATGTAGAAAAATGGGCCGGGATAAATTGTGATGGTAACAAACTGGTTTAAGTGTGATTTAAGGCGCTGAAGATGTGATGATAGCTCTGGATTTGATCTTTTCAATCTGTCTTTTGGCAAAATGTTCTGTAAAATGCTTTCTATATTTTGGTAGAAGGTACATTTGAAAATTACATATGAGGTATACGAGTGGAGGCTGCAGTAATGGTTTTAATCTCTCCCCTTTTGAGAAGTTAAGTGTTGAATGAGTGCTGATTTCATCTTTGAGCCACTTTATAACAAAGTATATGTTGGGCATTTGTTCTTGCCGTGGTGATAAAAAGAAAAACAATAAAAGTTGGATTCAACTTTTACCCTAGTTAGGTAATTTTGACCTGGTTTTAACTAGCTATGGCAGGATTATTGCAGAGCTATTTTTGTCTGAAAATAGTATGTTGAGCTAACATGACATCTTTTAACAAAATGAAGATAGTTCCAAGTGTCATGATTCATCTCTGTGAACTTCTTTCAGGTTGCATCTTGGTGGGACTATGGATACCAAACAACTGCTATGGCTAACCGCACTGTCATTGTTGACAATAATACCTGGAATAATACACATATCGCAACTGTTGGCACTGCCATGTCTTCTCCAGAGAAGGCAGCTTGGGAAATTTTTCACTCGTTGGATGTAAAATATGTTCTTGTCGTCTTTGGAGGTTAGTTTCCTAATGTTGCTCAGACCTTACCATAGAGGGGAAAAAGACGCTTTTCTGAAGTCTGAATTACATTTCAGGTCTTGTTGGTTACCCCAGTGACGATATTAATAAGTTCCTGTGGATGGTTCGTATAGGAGGGGGTGTATTCCCTCACATCAAGGAACCTGACTATCTGGTAAGTGGTCAGTTCTAGCAATGCTGGTTTTAAATTGAACTTCTTATAGTTTTCTTGCAATTGATGGTATTGTGTTGTGGGAGTTGAACGCATCTCTACTCAAATACCATTCACAATACTAGCAAACATCCTGCTTTCAAGATGACAAGTACCTTTCTATTAAAATATGCCTGCCAAAAAAGAAAAATTGGAAAGCCTACAACCACCACCACCAAGCCTTTTTCCCAACTACTTGGGGCCGGCTAATCCTATGTTTCCATTCTAATTGGATAACTTTAAAAGTATTAATGAAATTTTAGCATGATTATGAATACAAAATATATGATGGCAAGGTAGAAATGTCAATGTTTGCTAATAGTATGGAGAAGCCTTGTGTCATGTTTGTTTCTTGTTTAGAGAATTTGAAAAAATTGTCTTTAGTACAAGAGTTTGATATCAATTGTATAAGAGATTGCTTGAACCAAATTGTCACGTCCCCAAGTTGAGATTAAAGGCACTCTTGACCTTTCACAAAACAGGTGTATGACTAACTTTCCAACATTCCATCAAGTAAAAATAATTCAATAATTAACAATGCCAACTTGCTATCTCATAAATTTCTCAACATAATTGACAATAATAACCACCATACTCCAATGCAATAATAAAATAGAACTAAACACAATCCTCAGTACATAGTTTCTCTGAAAAGAAATAAAGAATATAGTTATTACTTGTAAATTTCATTAAACTTTGAATCAAAATTTAGTTCTATTAATGTGTTTCATCAATCTCTTTTTCATGCTCAATTACACATCCATTAATCCACCCAATATATACACACACAACACACATGCACACACATATAAAATCAAAAATCAAAAATATTTTTCTTTTCTTCCGTCTTTAACCAACATGATTAAATTGTAAATAATATCAGAATATAATAATTATTATAGAAAAGTTAGAACACCACTTACCTGAATTTAGTTGATTAATTGCTAAGTTAATTTGCCGCTCTCCAAGTCTAAATCTGTATAGAATTTAACAAAACCCTAATTATACCGTTTCTCATACTTGTATACTAATAATATTTTATAAGGAATAGTAGGTTATTCCTTAATATTATTTTCAATTTAATTATAATTATACTTATTGTACGATAATACACCTTACACAAATTCTTATTGCTTATTTAAATTTAGGGTTATTACAAGATACTTGTCATGTTTAAATATCCATTAGTAACCCTATATATTATGTACAGATAAATTTCTTATGTCGACATAACTTCAAAGCATAAGATGTTTTAACATATGTCATTTATTATTCCTTAAAAATAAACAGTTTCTATGTTGTCAGTCGACTCAGTTCCAATGTTCTTTTGTGTGCTCATGTTCTTATCCGTACACTAATTGCCGATTTGATTTTATTTTTTTTTTAGAAAATCATGAATGTACCTGCCTTCTTTGGTCTGTCCAAAAGAACTTGAAATTTGTGTTAGATTTTCTAATTCTAAATTTTTCTATTGATACTATTTAATTTGGACTAAAATTTATGTTGTCCTTTTTGTTGAAAAGAGAGATGGTCAATACCGGATTGATTCTCAGGCCACACCAACTATGCTAAATTGCCTCATGTACAAACTCTCGTATTTCAGGTGTGTGCTTTTTGTGGTAAATTTGGTTGTTTACATGTGGTGGTTGTGCTTATTTTGGCTGTATTGTTAATAAATTCTCACTGTTATATTTTAGATTTGTGGAGACGGATGGTAAGGGGTTTGATAGAGTAAGACGGACAGAGATTGGGAAGAAATATTTTAAACTTACCCATTTTGAGGAGGTAAGATGACCTAAACTTTCTACGAGGCATAAATTGTTGTTAGCCCCCAGATACCATATGAGATGCTATGATAAGATGGTTATATCTTTTTTTTGGGTTGCATGGTGTTTAAAATTATTATTTGGAGTAGACTTGGGTTATATGGTAGTGTGTTGGTAACTTGTTAAAGAGATGTGTTTATCTTCATTTGATGTGGCAATGTCAGCATTTATGAATGTGCTTGGCTTCATTTGATTTATGGCGCATTGATGCGTAAGGAAATATTTTATATTGCTTTGATTCTGTACCTTGTTTATTTATGGCGAAACACATATAATCTGCATTCAAATGCACAAATGCACAAATGACATAAATTTGTAGTATCTTCAGCATTTCTATATTGTTGCGTTTGGCGTGCAAAAATGGAATGGAATGAATATCCATTCCAACCATTCCTTTGATTGGTATGCAATTTAAAGTGGGAATGGTCATTCCGTTGGAATGAAAATTCATTATTGGAAATGAAAATCCATTCCACAACTAAACCTATGGAATGGCCATTCCATTCCCAAGTAAATTTTTTTCAAAAATCAACTTCCCAAAAAACCCTCATGTTCCAAGTCCAAAAACCATTACTACCTTCCACAACAACCACCTCCGCTTATCACCACCACCACCACCGACTTCCACCACTACTACCACCTTCCGCCACCGCCACTGCCACCGCCACCGCCTTCTACCGCCTTCCACCGCTACTGCCTTTTACCACCACCACCGTCACCGCCTTCTACCACCGCTACTGTCTTTCACCACAACCACTGTCACTGCCTTCCACCCCTTCCACCACCACGTCACCGCCTTCCACCACCATTGTCACCGCCTTCAACCACCGCCACCACCACCAACACCTCCATTGCCTTCCACCAACACCACCACCTACACCACTTTCCTCCACCCCCATCTACCACCGCCACTGCCACCATTTATTTTAAAAAAAATTATAGAAGAATGTCATTTTATTAATTTAATTTATTTACTCTGAGGGATATTTGGAGAACTCAATTTGAAATTTATTTCATTCTAAATTTTAAATCGGTCCAACCAAACGCTAGAATGGTAATTATCATTTCATTCCTACACATTTCATATTTACAACCAAACAATATAATGAGAATGGCCATTCCATTTCATTCCTGCACGTCAAACGCAGTATATGTTTCTTTGATTCTGTATCCTAGTTTTCTCTAACTGTAATTTGTATCTAAACAAATACTCTCTCTTTTCGTTGTGAAATCTCTAATGGACTTCTGAATAGTTTTACTACACCAATGTCCAGTGAGATCATGCACATGTTGTGGATTATTTCTCTGTTCGTAATTCATTTAGTTCTTATGCTTCAGTTTTTTTGTGGATTACGATCAATCTAGGTATTCACGACTCATCATTGGATGGTTCGGATATACAAACTAAAACCTCAAAAGAACAGGATCAAGGGAAAGACGAAGAAATCTAAATCGGTATGTATGAATGATGATTCTTCTATTATTTATTTTAGAATGTATGTGAAGAAATTATTCCATTGTGGTTCACCTACCCGTTGCTCTGTTTTGCAGAAAACTGGCTCCACTACCACCTCAAAAAGAAGCGGAAACAGAAAGAAGAATCCTTGGCACTAAAAAGCCTTTTCTTATGGGCATTTATCTCATGTCAGTTATTTGTATTACATATATATTTGTTGTATGCACGAGACTCTTGAGAGGGATTTTGCCGGCGAAGTTGAACATTTTCTTTCCGGAAATGAAAATGATCAAAGATTTTGCAGTCTACTCTGACCTTATACTTTGTCTGCTACTCTTAATAGTTCATAGTTCTAGGAATAGCAAAATTAATCAATTTTGGACCAGTTATTTGGCTGTTATAGACTTTTCAAGTGTACTTTTTCAGTCTATCAGGGATAGCTTCAGCCTTAAGTAATAAATAAATTATAATTCATGTTTGTACGATTGCAAGTTCCAAATTTGATTTATATATACTTCTATCTCTTTACTTATCCAAATTTTTAATAAGCTGCTCTTACCATTTTGTCAAGTGCAGCTAAAAATGGACACCTCCGCGAAAACTATTTGTTTTTTTTTTGGGTGCTCCTGACTCCACTATGGCCACCACTTTTTCTGGCTGTGCCGCAATTGTTGTCATCTTCGATTATTTGAAAACTAGCAACGAAGGCAGCATGGTCACATCATGAAAGAGGAGAGGAGTAAGGGGCAAACAGTCGGTGTGTTTTACCGTTCGAAAAATTAGAAATAAAAATTAGGTCACCTGATTGCGGTACAAATCTTTTTCCCTAACTAAAACATCCTTTTTAACACGTTATAACAGTGCCGTTATGGAACTTAAGGCCTAAACATATAAATGATTTTTGTGGTTCGATAATAAGCACAGAGAGAGAGATTTGTTATTATTTCTGTGCACTGCAGTCTACCAGTTATACCCTACATACAGAAGAGAAGAGGAGAGAAAAACTTGTGGAGCAAACTAGGTCCAGATGACACTTATTAATAGGACATAAAATTTGATGGTATGAAGTTGACTGTTTTAACCGAGTCTCTGACGCTTCATTTTGTCACTAGATAATGTTTTCCTCCTGTCTGGCATTTTAAATAATGACCTTCCCATCCTGTCTGATATCCGGAAATTCATAGATTACATAATTGTGGTCTGATATCCTTTGTGGTGAGACCGTCAATGGTATGAATACCACTTTTCAATCCAAAATCCACATCATTAACTGGGTTAACCCCTCTGTTGACTTACTACTAATCTATGCATTTACTGGTAAAAAGTGTGCGTGGTCGTCCTCTAAAGCATCTTTTAGCAATAATAATTGTTCAAAACTTTAAGGGTTTTTTTTTTTTAGGTAAAATAAATAAATATATATATATATATATATATATATATATATATATATATATATATATATTACATTTTGATATTTTGCAAAGGCCTAAATTGAGGTTAAGATTGGGATGAAATCCATCGGGCAGAGTCTATAAAATAACTTACTAAAAATTAATGAATAAGTTATTTTAGTCAAATTTTTAAAAAAAAAATTTCATAAATATTTTAGACAACCAAATATCAAAAATTAAAAAAATATTTTACATCTAATCAAAAGGAACCTAAATGTCCCATCAAAGAATTTCTAAACGTCTCCTTTTAGGTGCCCTGCCCCTCTCTCTCTCTCTAAAAAAAAAAAAAAAAAAAATTCTTTTGTGGTGTTATTTTCTTTTTAAAATACTTACTCGCTTTCAAATTTAATAGTAATTTTCTTATGCCCCCATGTCATCGCTTATTTCACCCAAATTATGAATGGTTATTTGAATTTAAATAGACAAAATTCGAATAGAAAAATTCAGAAAATTTTAGGAATTTGATGACTTTTTTTTTTTTTTAAGTTTCAAAATTCGTTGAAATTTCACTTAAATTATGTCATATACAATGAAAACCTTTTGAAAAAAAAATAAAAAATTATATATCTCATTTTTTTAAAAATAGTAATAATAAAAAAATAATGCAACAAATCTATCAGAGTGTGGCATCTTCTAGCGGTTAAATGGTTAAATTGGGGGGTGAAACTCTGGATTCAACTACTCAAATGTATGAACATTTTCGTTAGTTGATTTCAAAATATATATTATTAGTATTGATCAAAGTCAGCAAATGGGATTTTCTAAAAGTTGTGATAAGAGTGTCTTCACTTTGGACAAGGATTTATTTCTTCCATGACCGTGTGCTGTGTGGACCAAACATGAGTGGCACGTGCTTTTACTGAGGCGACCGTTGAAAATGTGGGCGAGAATAGAATATATATATATATATACACTAGTATATATTGTCTGTCTGTAAGACTACGACCCTTTTTACGCCGCAAATCTTCAGCGATCGATCAAACCACCGCCCCAATTCTAGCTACCACCTTTTTACGTCGGCCACCCCCTTGACCCTCCACACAGTAACCCTACCTCACACATCATTTGTCACTTTGGGTTTGGTTGCTGCATCCATAAAGTACACATCATATATGAGTCGGCAGCACGTCGTCCGTATCTCATATATATATATATATATATACACATCCTTCTTGGGGACCCACTAGTCTCCTTTCACTGGGTACCTGTTTATTTCCATATCTACGTGAATCCACGTTTCATTATCGATGGAGAAGCGAGCTTTGCTTTCCAGTGTAGTGAAAGGATGAGGATCATTTTAACCAATAGGTGGGGTTCACTTCAATGATTCTCAACTTTAATTACTGCCATTCAAAATCAGTACAATATTTCAATAATTCCCTTACGTGGACATATATACTTATAAATTATATAACATGATTCATAAATTTCAAGGATTGGTATTTGATATTAGTCCCCTTAATAGTCAATATTCTAGCTCCATCTTCAAAGAAGCAAAATGAAATGTTTGTTTCACCGGTTGTTAAAAAAAAATTGTTATATTTTAAAAAAGTTTAATTAAACACACACTCTCTCAAATGTCCTCTCCAACGCTCTCTCAAATGTTCTCACAAACTTAAAATATAGGAGATTTTGTTTTTTTGATATACTTTAATAGTGTGATATATAATCTCTCAAAACATGATATTCTTAAAAAAATTTCTTATATATAACAAATTGTTATAAGTTGACAACTTGAAATGCTACGTCTCTTTTTGGATTTTTGTGTCAGACATGGATTGAAAAGTCACATGAAAAAAACAAGAATAATGTATTAATTAAAATAAGAAAAGTAATAATTAAAGTTTAGCACAATTGGAATTGATGGAAAAACATAATAATGTATCGATTAAAGTGTGGCACAATTGGAACAGAATTGCTAAAATATAACATTAAAACAGAATTGTTAAAATATAATATTTTATCACTATAACTCCTTTTAAAATATAACTTATTAATTATTTTCAGATATTCAATCTCTAAGCATTTATGACCCTCCTGATTTTAGTTGTATACTCATTAAATATTACTATTGCAAAATTTTCATCATTGTCTCTCACATAATATTCTGGATCTGGACCATTCAAAAAATATATATATATATATATATATATATATATATATATATTCTGGGTCGGGGTTCAAGAGAAACAATTTAAAAGCCTATAGATATTTTTGCCTAATGCCATAGTTGACTATCTATCCATATCAGTCACCAATAAGGATGGAGACTTTTTATTTTGGTTTTAAAACCATATTAATGAGTAATACTAATGTTTATCAATTTTTTTAAAGCTATTTCTCAAATTTTTGTTTATCATTAAATGATTGTCTGTAACAATTTTTTATAATTGCCGAATACATTTCCATGATATCCATATATCCACACACACGCACGCACATGTGTGTGTGTATATATATATATACACACACACATGCAATTGCGACTAAAGCTTAGGTCGGTCGTGAGTCAAATGATGGACACAACAGCTACAATTTTTCAATCTATTTTCTCAGACTTTTTGACAGCCGCAAATCTTGAAAAATGTTGTAAAATTAGCACAAAGTTAGTGGGTCCTTCTGACTTTTTTTCATCTTATGTTCCTGCCTCAGGGTGCACAAATCACAAATCACACTGTAATCTAATGGAAGTGTGGGCTGCTTCATTTTTAGGATAACACGTGTCTCCATCACAAGGTGCCGACAATCTCTTCACATTTTCAATAAATCCCGCAAATTTTTCATTTTAATATTCTGCCGCCATGACCACCACCAGTTTTATTCTCCCTAAGGTTATGTTTGCCGGTGTAGATTTGAACAAAAATGATAACATTAAAATGAAAAATTTGCGGGATTTATTAAAATGAAAAATTCTCCTTCTTATCATTTCCTTTTTTTCATTTTAATTTGATATTGTGTTTGGTTAATAAGGTTATGTTTGCCGGTGTAGATTTATTAAAATGAAAAATTTGCGGGATTTATTAAAATGAAAAATTTGCGGGATTTATTAATTTTTCATTTTAATTTCATTTTTCATTTTAATTTGATATTGTGTTTGGTTAATTAGGTTAATTAATGAAAGAAAAAAAAGGAAATGATAAGAAGGAGAATTATTTTAATAAATTTACTATTATATCTTTTTATATTTTAAAATATAAATTTATATATATATATTCGTCTCCTATAAAAATAAAAAAAATTTAGGACAAATCATTTCAGCCTCCATGTTTTTTTAGGGCAAATCAACTCCATCTCTCTTCTCTCTCTTCTCATTCGCAACTCCATCTCTCTATTCTCGTTCTCAACGCTGAACTTCTCTCTCTCTCTCTCCTCTGCAACTACAAACTACTACAAGAATTAAAAGTTCAAAACTCAGTTTATATATTTGTTCAAAAAATCAAAACCCATATCAGATTGTTCAAAAAATCAAAACCCATATCAGGTTCCATCGCCCGCTGTTCCAATTCGGGTTTGCCGTTCGTTGTTCGCAAGCAAGTTTCACCGTTCTCAACTCTCAAGCTTGCCCCTTCCATTCCCTTTCCTTTCCTCCCATTTCCACTCTACCAAACTGACCCTAAAGAACACGCATTATTAACTCAACACCAAACAAGTTGGGTGTAATTCACATAGTATAAACTTGTGAAAATAATCTCTAATTGATAATATTATTGCAATCTGGGTGAGAGATGGGAGAGTGTAGAGTAATGAATCTCGTTGTGATAATATTGATAATTAATAAAAATTAATCGTTAACAAAGCACCAATTTCAAATAAAATATTAATTATACTATTATAATATCATGCTCAATTGATATGATCAAAAAAAGATAAAGTTAATCTCACTCCTCTCTCAGTACACCGAAAGAAGTGAGATTAACACAATAAGTAAATTCACATATACATTCTCAAATTACAGTTGTAACCTACAAAATGTTGATTGCACTATTAAATTATCCTCTCCTTGTCTTTCTTTTTAACTCCTACTGGAAGGC